AGGTGTCAAAAGAGTTGGGTTTGAATCCTGACCTGGCTACTTATCTCCTGTGAATGTCAGATAAGTTACTTAACTTCTCATGGCCATGGCATCCTCATTTGTAAAAGGAAGGGGAAAAAAATTAAAAAATAAAAATAAATAAAATAAAATGAGGGGACTGGACTAAATGACTTCAAATGTCCCCTCCTAATCTAAATCCTATGATGTGACACCACCCCCTTGGCATTCAAAGGACCTCTAAAATTGAGCCCTAGCTTAGCTTTTCAACCCAATTTTCTGTTACTCTGCTATAATCCCCTGCTCCGGCCATACTGAAATACCCATCTCCCAAACACCCTACCCACCTCATCCTCCTTGCCAGGAATGGCCATATCTCTCCTTGCCACATATCTGAATCCTACAAATTCTTCTAAGTCAGTTCTGCCTCCTCTGATCATTGTAGCCCACAGTGGCTTCTTCCTCCTCTAAACTCCCACAAGCACTTATTATCCACATTACTCATTTGGTATTATCACACACGGGGCTGCATTATATTATTAATTACCTTTTTACATATGCCTTGTTTCATCAAACTGTAAGACTTTTGAAGGCAGGAACCACTTTTTATTTGTTGTTCAGCTGTTTTTTTCAGTCGTGCCTGACTCTCCCATTTAGGGGTCACTTAGGGGTTATTTCTTGTTGAAGACTCTGGAGTAGTTTACTATGTGCTTCTCCAGCTCATTTTACAGATGAGGAAACTGAGACAAACAGGGTTAAGTGACTTGTTCAGGGTCACACAGCTAGTAGGTGTCTGAGGCTGGATTTGAACTCATGAAGATGGGTCTTCCTGATTCCAAACACAGTGCTCTATCCACTATACCACCTAGCTGCCAAGCACTTTTTATACATCACTTTAATTCAACAAACATTTAGCAAGTATGCCTCTGAGGCATCATGCTAGGAGGTATGGCAATATGGACACAGGTCCTGTTCTCAAGATGTTTACAATCTAATGGGGGAGTGGGAAGGACTAGTATACAAATAACTAACTAGTCATAACTACTGACGACCTGGAAAAGAAAGGTCTCATCACCAAAATTCTTGTTACTATCAAATGGCTAAACATCAGAAATGGATATGGTTTCATCAGTGTAAATGATATCAAAGTGTTTTACCACTTGTTTCACTGCTGCACCTGAAGGACCAAGAGAGCTTTTCCATTTGACTCACAGTTGAAACCTCTTCTAGGTGTTATGGTCCCTGTTAGAACTCGAGCTAGATGAGGAAACTGAGCACCCCGCTAGGGGCAGCTAGATGGCTTAGTGAATAGAGTGCTGGGCCTGGAGTCAGGAACACCTGAATTCAAATCTAGTCTCAGACACTTACTAGCTGTGTGACCCTGAGCAAGTCACTTAACCTCTATCTGCCTCAGTTTTCTCATCCGTAAAATGGAGATAATTAGCACTGGCCTCCACTAGCCCTGGAGTCAGGAGGACCCGAGTTCAAATTTGGCCTTAGACATTTACTAGCTATGTGACCCCGGGCAAGTCACTTAACCCTAATTGCTCTCCTCCCCCCACAAAAAGAATGTAAACTCCCTAAAAGCAGGAACTGTCTTCACTTTTCTATTTGTGTCTTCAGCTCTTAGCACAGTGCACTGCATACAGTAAACACTTATAAATGTTTTAGCACCATGCTTTGCACATAGTAAACACTTAAAAAATTTTTTTTCATTCATTCAAATATAAGAAAAAGGAAAATAAAATCAATATAAAGGAATGGGCTGCAGGCAATTACTATAAGAAATATGAGAAAAGAAAGAATAATTTCATGTAGGAAGGGCATGGAAGGCCTCCTATTAAGGGGTGGCATGTGTGTGGAACTTTGAAGGAGGGCATTGGATTCAAGGAGATGGGAACAGGGAATGTGTTCCGTTCACATATAGTATCTAAAAATGCACAGACAGAAATTAGGTTAGGTTGGCTTGGATGCTGAATATGTGAAGGGGAATATGAAATCAGTTTGGAAAAGTTACTTAGAGCCAGGCTCCAAAGGCCCTTGAATACACAGGTGAGGAGCTGACGTTTCATTCCGGTGGCAGTGGAAGTCACCAAAGGTTCCCGTGTTTATGAAGAACACCATCACGGCAGCACATTAGCAAGATTACTCAGACAGTGAGGCAAAGCACAGATTGGAGAAGGGCTAGACTCTTGGCAAGAAGAGTAGGTAGGAGGTTATTACAATAGTCTAGATGAGAAGAGATGAAAGTCTAAACTCGAGTGGTTGCAGTAGGAGTGGAAAGGAGAAAACAGATGCAAAAGATATTGCAGAGATCAAAAAAGATAGAACTTGGCAACTGATGAGGCTGGAGGAGGGAGAGAGAGAGAGAGAGAGAGAGAGAGAGAGAGAGAGAGAGAGAGAGAGTTCTCTGAATCCTTGTCCTATCAAGTCAGAAGTCTCAAGCCAGGTTTCTTATCCCTACTATCAAATGAAAACCCAGCACTTTTCTTTAGATTTAAATTGAAAACTTAAGATGTTTCCTTTGCTTACTGTGCTCTACAGAGACTACAGAAAGAGAATGCCATTTCCAGGTCCCAGAGCACAGAAAGCTCTGGAAAGCCATTGGTGGACCACTACCTAACATTCTTTTAGGGCCAGGCCAGTGCCAAGAAATTTCAGAAAAGTGCTCTCTCCCGGGAATATCATCTCAAAAATAAACATGTTTCCCCCTCCTTTCCCTTAGACTATAAGCTTCTTGAGAGCAGGGAATATTTTTTGCCTTTCTTTGTAGTAGGCAGCTAGGCAGTGCAGGGGATAGAGCTCTGGATCTGGAGACAGGACTACTTGGGTTCAAATTCTGCTTAAGAAACTTACAAGATGGGGCAGCTGGGTGGAGCAGTGCAGTGGACAGAGCACTGGCCCTGGAATCAGGAGGACCTGAGTTCAAATCCAGTCTCAGACACATAACACTCACTAGCTGTGTGACTCTGGGCAAGTCACTTGGCCTCTTTCTCAGTTTCCTCATCTTTAAAAAGGGGAAAACACCTATCTCCCCAGGTTTGTTGTGGGGAATCGAATGAGATAATATTTGGAAAAGGGCTTTGCAAACCTCCATAAATACTAGCGATTACTATTGGTATCCCCAGCTGAGCATACTGCCTCGCACATAGTAGGTGCTTACTAAATGCTAAGTACATTTATTAGGATGATTAAGTGTATACAGTGGATAGAATGCCAGCCCTGGAGTCAGAAAAACTCCTTTCTAAGTTCAAATCTGGCCTCAGACACTAGCTACGTGACCCAGGCAAGTCACGTAGGCCTGTTTGCCTCAGTTTCCTTAACTGTAAAATGAGCTGGAAAAGGAAACAGTAAATCACTCCAGTATCTCTGCCAAGAAAACCCCAAATGGGGTCAGGAAGAATCAAACACAATTGAAACGAATGAACATCAATAATGATAAATGCTATTGATTGATTGAAACCTCACTTGCCAAAGCCATCAGTAGTCAGATGATGGGTATTCTGAGAAAACAAGTTCAACTTTAATTGATTTCCATTCTGTGGAACTCATACTCCACTCTTTGATTAACTCATAGCTCCTCCCCTCAAAAATTCAGATCTTATTCTAAAGCTAAAATTATGTCATTGAGGAGAATGAAAGTGGAAGTCCATGAAAGTGACTAGACAGAGTGATTAGCCACATTGTTGAGAATACTGAATTTGGAGTCCGAAGGCCTGGGCTCCTGTCCCAGCTCTGCTTTGTTGTTGTTCAGTTGTTCAGTTGCGTCCAACTCTACATGACCCAATGGACTTTTGTTCAAAGGTTTTTCTGGGCAAAGATACTGGAGTGGTTTGCCATTTCCTTCTCCAGTGGACCCCCATTTTTACAGAGAAGAAACTGAAAATGACTGAATAATACCAGGACTTTAATCCATTCAAGTCCACTAGATAAGTAATCAAATTGGAGCAGAACTAGATATAATGTGGGTTCCTGAAATACCACAAAGAACAGCATTATCTATAAGACAGCCCCATGGCAGGGACCCTGATATAACTTTATAGAGAAGCTTTAGTGTGATCAGTCCTAATGGCCAGAGAAAGGAGAAGTGGTCTGCCTGTGATATTACCACAGTGACAACCGGCTGGGAAATAAAAAAAAAAATTCAAAAGCTGAAGGAGATAGCCTTCAAATGACACCATGTTGAGCCAAGTTGAAGAATCTATGCCTGCGTACGGAGTGAAAGGGAAAACAGTTGAGCTCTTCAAGTATGAGTGGAACACTGCATGAAAAGAGTTGGAAGGAAAGAAGGAAGTTACAGAGAGGGTCCCTGGAAGCCAAGGACCAGACCCCAGAGCTTCTCTGAGTCCTGAAAGCTAAATGAGCTTCTTCGGGTGATCTAACAGTACCTTTCAGAAATTCCCTTTCTGATGTGGTTGCATATAAAGAAATTCTTTCTATTATGCTTCAAAGCAAAATGGAATATAAATGAAAACTACTTCAGTCAGAGGGGGACACTCCTGGTGCAGTGAAAGATTTGGACTCAGAAGACCTGGGTTTGGATCCTCCCTGTATATAGCTAGGTAAGCTACTTTTCTCTAGGCTGTATCTTTTTTCATCTGTAAAATTGGAGTGTAGAGGGAGATTTAAACTACATTGCTTCTAAACTTCCTTCCAGCTCTAAATACCAAGGTCCTATAAGCAGAATCTTTGCCTTTAGTTGGGACACAGAACGGAGAAATGTACTCTTGGGCAATATGGGAATAAGGTGATATGTTCATACCTATTAAAGAAAAGAAAAGAAAAATCACATGCCACTAAAGACTTAATACACAGTAGCAACAATTTAGACCTTGGTAGTTATTTTCAGAAAGATTGACCTAGGCAGAATTTGACTTCTCTGAACGCCACAAAACATATTCAGGTTATCCAATTTTTTCTCATCTCACATATTATCTTGTCTAAAAGATTAGCTATAGTAGAAAGTAGCAGTATCTGAAAGGAGCGCAGGAGTACCAACTTACCCAGGAAGGTTAAAGTCTCTCCTCTGGAGATCTTTCCACCAAAGGATAATGCAACTCTCTCCCTGAGGGTGATGTGGCCGGAGCTCCTCCTGGCACAGCAGCTGACCGCTGGAAGTCTCCTCCAGCTCTGAGAGTCTAGGAACCTCCAAAGGCTGCAGGTGTCATGTGTTTTCCTAGATGCCCAGCAACGATGCTGCTCACCTTGCCCTCGATGTTCTGAGATCCATGGGCTCTGTGGTTGCTTTTTTCCACACCCCTCTCCCGGGGCGGGGGCACCAAGCCAAGCCGAGGGAGATGGACTGGACTGTGGGGTGCACGGGGACAGAAATCAATCCCCTTGAGGCCAGTTCAACAGCATCCATGACCCTCCTTCCTAGGGATGGGGGGGAGGCTCCTAGAGGGGAGAGAGGGAGGGGAGGATGGGAGACAGAAAGGAACTAGCCCTTTCAAGGCTGCCCCCAAACCCTTACTGCTTCCTGGGGTACAGAGATGGGGGCTTCTCCAAGAACATGATGCCACAAATAGCACCCATTCCCCAAGCCCAAGATCGAGAAGGAAGAAGAGGAGGAGGAGGAGGAGGAGGAGGAGGAGGAGGAGGAGAGCTGGAGAACTGGCTTCTCCTTAACGTCCATAGGAAAAGGGGGCGCGGGGGTAGGTGGGTGAAGGGGAGAGATGGCTAGTGATAAAAGAAGGGGTTAATGAAGGACATACAAAGAGTAAGGAGTGGCTGATGAGGTGCGAGTGTACGGGAGAGATGAGGAGAGGGTCTCCGAGGGCTCTGAAGGAAGGAGGCTCAGGGGCTGGGTCCCAAATCGTCGCCGCCGCCCACCCTGCTCCCCCAGCCTCCGCCAAGGCCGCGCGCAGCCACCGCCACCACCACCTCCTCCTCCTCCTCCTCCTCCTCCCTCTCCTCTGCACAATGAAGCTCAGACCCGCTCCGTCTCCCCCAAACTCCTCCCCTCCGGGCCTGGGACTCAGCAGTCCTCGCCCCAAAGCCCTCCCGTCCTCTTGTCCGGCCCGGTACTGGGGGCTCACCGCCGAGGAGCCGCCGCCGCTGCTCAGGGCTGGGCCATCCCACCTTCACCTCCACCTCCCCTTTCTGCGGCCACCGGCACCGCCACGGCCGCAGTTGCCCTGCCTGCCCGCCTCCCTCTCTGCCGCCGCCGGTCCAGGAGCGGGAGGTTTCGGGTTGCAGACCCCCTATCCCCCACCAGGTCTTCCCGAGTCAGCTCCGACGCTGACGGCGGCTGCTGCAGACACGCGGAGAAGGGCCGAGGGGACCAGGAGCAGGCAAGAAACTTTGCTGGGCTGCTCCGCGCCGCGCCGGGATCTGCTATAACGCGCCGCGCCGCGCCGCGCCAAGCGGGCCAAGCTGCGCTGCGCGGCGCTGCGCTGTGCTCTGCACCGCCCGCCCCTCCTCCGGGCCTCTCTCCCCACCTCCCGCCCGCCTAGCCTACGCGGCCCCAGGCCCGCCTCCCTCATCCTCGTCCTCCCGCCTCCTTGCGCCCCCACTCACCTTTCTGCACTTCCTCTCTTGCATTCCCACCCCATCCTCCAGGCTCTTGTCCTCCTCAGTCCGCATCCCTCCTAATGTCCCTTATCCATCTCCTGTACCCATCCAGCCCCTCGGGCCTGCTCCCCGCACTGCCTCGACCCCCTACGCCCCCGTCCTCCCCGATTCTTCTTCCAGCCTGGGTTGCCAGTCTTCCTTTCTTCAGGTCTGCGCTCTAGACTGTGTTTGCAATCCCTCCTACTTAAGTCACTGACTTGCCTCTTCGTTCCCCTTTGCCCTCCCCGGGTCCGATCTCTTGGTTTCTTCCCTTCGTTCCATCCTTGCCTTTTTTTTTTTTTTTTTTTTTGGCTTTTTCCTTCTCTCTTCAGCTTTGTACTTTCCCTTTTCCCATCTCTACTCCTCATTTCCGGATTCAGCCTTTTCGGACTCTCCCTTTGCTATTCTGCCATCCTCCAGTTCTCTCCTGAGCTTCCTCATCTTCATATCTCCATTCTCGCCCACTTAGACATATTTCACTTACTTATTTCTGTCTTTAAAAAAAATTAAATATATTCCTTCTGCTTTATGGTCTACTCTAAAATCCCCTCCTCCTTCAGTCTCTTCATATTCCATCTTCAACCTCCTTCTTCATCATCCCAGTTAGTTCCTCTCTCCCCTTCTTCATTCTCTTTTTCTTCTCCCATCCCCGTCTTCCCATGCACACCAGTCTTAATTAGGGGAAAACGTGAAGCGAAGTTTCAAGTAGTTCAAAAGAAAGAACACTAAAATAGGAGGATGGTGAAAATTAAACCTAAGTGGTTTTTTTCAAACTTCATGAAAAAAAAAAAAGACATTTTAGAGACATAATTGGGTAGCACACGAGCTTGGGAGTCAGGTAACCCACCTTTAAAACCTCCAAGCTCTGTGACTATGGGGAAATCACTTAGCATCTCAGAGCCTCAATTTCCTCTTCTGTAAAACAGAGTTAGCATTTGCATTACCTACCTCACAGTTATTGTGAAGAAAGTATTTTTCAAACTTTGAAGATACGTGTGTTTTACCGATTCTCATTAATAGAATAGATAAAGCCCTTGAAATCAAGCCTCTTCTCTTAGGTTAATTAGTTACTCCCCAGCTGCTAATTGGGTCCCTTGGGACTCTGACTTGAATTCTTCAAGGAGCTGTAATTTCACTCTGCATATCTGAGTACTTCCTCCACATGGCATATTGCAATCTCTTTTTAACTTAATAGATGGTTTCAAATTCTACACTTTGAATCACCTCAATATCACCTCCCCCTCTCTGCTCCTTTGCTTGAGTCTTGGAAGAAGAGGTATCCCTTTTCCTTGCCAGGGTCAATCTTTCTATTTGTGCCTTTGATCCCATCACTCCTGTTCCTTCCTGTAGCTTGCCCCCACAATCACCTCCTCTTTCTCTCTAATTTTCAGTCTTTCCCTATTTACTAGCTCCTTTCCTGCTGCCTTAAAATGTGCCCAGGTCTTCCCCACCTTTAAACAACCTTTACTTGACAGTACTGTCCTATATATCTCGTTCCTATACCCAGTGCCTCCACTTTGTCTCCACTCAGCACTTCTCAATCTATTGAAGTCTGACTTCTGAAGTCATCACTCATCTGAATCTGCTCTCTCCAAAGTTACCAATGATTTCTTAACTGTGATCATTTGATTGCCAGATCTAATGACCTCGTCTCAGCCCTCATCCTCCTTTACATTTCTACAGCACAGTTGACGTTGATGACCATCCCTGCCTCATGGATATTCTCCACTCTCTGGGTTTTTGGTGGCATTTTTCCTACTTGGTTTTCCTCCAACTCTGGTTACTTGGCTAAATCATCATCCATGTCCTACTCCCAACATGTGAATGTACCCAAGGGCTCTGTCCTGGGCTGTCTTCTCCTCTCTCTTTTTATACTCTCTTTCCAAGAGCTCCTCAGTTGTGGTCCAGCTCAAGTCTTTTTTCTTGAGCTTCATTCCTTCATCACCAACTGCCTACTGGACATTTCTAATCAAATTTCCTACAGGGCATATAAAATTTAACATGTCCATTGAGACAGTATCTCTCCCCACAATTTCTTCCCTCTTCCTAATTTCCTTATTGCTAACGAAATTACTACAATCCTTCCTGTCCTATCACTATCATATACCTGTGTTCACAGCCTGAGAGCCTTACTCTTCTCTCTCTTCTCTCTCCATTCCCTACCCCCTACCATATGCAATCAGTTGCCACATTTTGTCAATGCTAGCTTCATAAAATCTCTCACATTTACACAGAAAGGAAGACGGAAGGAGGAGAAGGGGAAGGGAATAAGAATTTATATAGCACCTACTATGGGCCAGACACTGTGCTAAGCACATTTTTTTTTCAAATATGATCTCATTTGACCCTCACAAAACCCTAGGAGGTAGATGCTATTATTAACTTCATTTTACAGATGAAGAAGCTAAGGCAGACAGTGGTTAAATGACTTACCCAGGGTCACACACCTAGTTAGTGTCTGAGGTCAGTTTGAAGTCAGGTCTTCCTGACTCTGGACCCAGCATTCCATCCACTGCACCACCTAGCTGCCACCAATCTAGTTCACCTCTCTCTTGGACTATTGCAATCACTTCCTAACTATTCTCCCCACTCTAATCCATCCTCCATGTAGCTGCCAAAGTAATATTCCTAAAGGGCAGGTCTGACCGTGTCTCTCCTCTCCTTATAAAGCTCCAGCGGCTCTCAATTGTTTCAGACATGAAATAGAAACTCCTCCTTTTGGTATTTAAAATTCTTCCTAAACCATCTCCTGTCACCTTCTCAGCTTTGTTGGACATAACTGTCCTTCATATATTCTACATTCCAGCTAAACTTGCTCCCCCTAAACATTGTGTCTCCCAATTCTTTGCCTTTGCACTGGTTGATCTCCGTGCCTAGGATGTACCTCTTCCTCACTTTTGCCTCAGCATACCTAACAACCTCCTACCCAAGATCTATTCGGATGACTTCAGCTGCTGGTGACCTCCCTTCTTTTCCCTTTCCCTCCTCCCCAACCAGAAAGTATAGGAGCAGGAAGCCCATGCTAAGGAATTTCCTCTACTAATGTAAACCTGTACCTGCCTTGCAAATGAAAGTCTTAGTGGCAGCTAGGTGGTGCAGTTGTGAGAGTGCTGGGCCTGGAGTCAGGGTAGACCTTTCTTCCTAAGTTCAAATCTGGCCTCAGCCACTAGCTGTGTGACCCTGGCTGAGTCATTTAACTCTGTTTGCTCCAGTTTCCTCATCTGTAAAATGAGCTGAAGAAGGAAATGGCAAACCACTCCAGTATCTTTACCAAGAAAATCCCATATGAGGTCACGAAGAGTCCGACGACTCCACAACATTAATTTTGGTTTTCTAAGTCAACATGGGGGCAGCAGAAATTCTCATTTACGGTTTAGCAGCCCTTTCCTATTTGAGTGTGACACTACTGCACCACATCACGCTGCCTCTCATTTACCTGGCATATATTTTTATTTATTTATATTCCTATCATTTTCCTCATTAGAGTGTAAGCTTTATGAGGATGAGAACTATCGGGGAAGCTAGGTGGCACAGTGGATAGAGCACCAGCCCTGGAGTCAGGAGGACTTGAGTTCAAATGTGGCCTCAGACACTTGATATTTACTAGCTGTGTGACCTTGGGTAAGTCACTTCAACCCCATTGCCTACAAAAAAAAAAAGAGAGAGGACTTTCATTTTTGTCTTTGTATCTTAAGCACATAGAGCAGTGCCTAGAATATTGTTCCTCTTCAGTCATTCAGTTGTGTCTGACTTCGTCCAGGGGATTTTCTTGGCA